TGTTGTGTTGAGGAGAATCTTTGCTTCCCAGAACCAGAAAGAACCAAAAAAAATATAGTTATTAATCCTAGTATAATTGCCTTATTTGTTTTGTCATATCCAATAATCACTCCAAGTGTATTGAGAATTAATTACATTTAAAAAATTTAATAAAAATATAAAACCAGATTCCGCAGCTTTTCTTTTTTCATATAAAAGCTTCAAATAAATGCCAATGCAAATATCCAATGCTAATAAGGATGCATCAACAAAATATAAGATAGAATTGATTCACTAATAATAACAACAGAAGATGAATCAATATCTTCGTGTAATAAAGGTGGTGAAATAAATGAAGGGGAGATTAGAGCATGAGAAGAAGAAATAGTGGAAGAAGTGAGAATAATTGAGGAAGTGGAAACAATGGAAGAGGAAATAGTTAAAAAAAAGGGTGGATGATTAAAAATAAAAATAAAAGAATGACAATTTTTTAACATTAAGGGCAGAGTGTACGTAGCACTATGATACTAGTACTAGTGGATAATTTTTTGGCCGCCGATTATTAAAGTACCCAATTATTTGATAATTTTATCTACCCCGATCATATATCACGTTATTAAAAAATGTTCGGGTAAATGTGTGGGAATTGAATTTGTATTAGCAAAGAAAAATTTAGACGAATGATGAAGAAAAATATAAAAATAAAAAAATATATTTATTTTTTTTTTTTGTGTATTTTAAAACAATTTACTTACGACATTCTTGCTTTAATTTGACGTAATAGTTTACAACTTTGGCAAAATTTCATCAAACAAGATTAACAGTGATCAATTCAATTGTTTCCATAAGCATAAATTTGAATTTTTAGTTATAGGTTTAAAAAGTTCCACAATAGTAATAGCTGTTGATTACCATCCCAACTAATGTTGTGTTTTTTTGGCGAAATGTTATCAAGTCCACTACTAATCAAGTCAAAAATGACGAAAGTAAAAATATTGACTTAAGCCAAAGCTCTTAACTAAAATCAAAAGTCATACTAAAGTAAAAACTTATAATCCAACTGCTAAAATTCACACATGATAGCGAAATAGGTTAGCACTTGAAAATAATTTCGAACAATCGAACCTTAAACATTTCGAATTCAAACTTAATATTAATATAAATATAAAAGCTTTGACTAAAATCGAAATAAAAATCAAACAGCAAAGAGTTTGAAATATCATGTGAACTACATCATATCCGCAGCAGTAGTAAGGGCCTCCATGTGAATACTATTGTAGCCCATACAATTTTTAGTGTCTTTTTCCAGTAGAATTATTATTATTTCTCCTCTGAATAAATTATAAACAATTTTAACCAATTCTGATCTGAAACCGAAACCAACCGAACGGTTTAAGGAATTCAAAAGGGTCACAGCATTGGTTTTGATTTTTGCCACGAGTATTTCGATTTCGCTAAATTTCATTGATGATTAAAAATTGCCAAATGAAGAAATGTCTATGACAAAAAATTGAGCTTTCATATTTTCATATGGCCAATCTTTGTCATAGGTAAATTTATATAACATTTTAAAAGTGCCAAGACAAAAAAAATTTTGCGCATGTTAATAATAGAATAATAAAAAGCCAACATAGGAGCATGTGTTTACATATTTTTAATTTGAGAAATTATGACAAAAAATGATTCTCCGTTTAGTTTTTGAATTTGTATCGAAATCCTTGTCTTATCCCGTATTTTTTTTATCAAAAACGATTCCTTTATAAGCGATGGGGGTGGTTTCGGCTAACCTTGTTAAAAATGCAAACTTTATTGGAACTGTTCTGTCGTTTTTCACATTTGTGTGTCTTCTTTTATTAAACTTTGGTGTGCCAATAATTAAGTCAATTTATATTGCGAGTGTTGTGATAATTAACGATGGTGTAAATCGACAAGAAATTATATTTGGAATATATGGCATTTGTAAGCAAATCACCCAAATCGACTCAAATGTAACTATGTTAACATGCATAAGTGATGGTGTTGATAATGACGATTTGGGCATTTCAGCTAAAAGCACAAAATTATTGTTGTCCATGTATACCATTGGTAATATACTTACTTGTTAATTATTTAAAAATATGAAATATTATATATAACAAATTAGTTATTTTTAGGTGCAATGACATCATTCGTATTAATATTGCTGTGCATTCGTAATCATATGACCAACAGAAGTCCGGCGTTGATTTTCGCATTATCCAATTCTTTGATCATTTTGTTAGCAATAGGAGGACAAATTGATCTTTTTTTAAAAATCAATAATTTTTATCCTATAACTGATGGTCAATATGGATTAACTAAAAAATTTGGCAGTAACGGGTTTGTTATCGGGATTGTATCTCTTTTATTCTCATTCTTAACAGCCTTTTCACTTTACCTTAGAAGACAAGCTGAAATCATTATAACGATAACAGAATGTGACTAATCAAACTAATCAAATACATCAAATATCTTCCAATATTTTACCTAAATTTGATTTAGTATATATATCATTATCAATGTAATTTTTTGTTAAAATTAATTTGGAGTTAATTAGTAAAACATAATTATTATTATCTTTTATGCTAACGAAATTAACATCATTTTTGTATTAGTCATGATAATAGTAAACACCTAATTGTTGATCTGTGAATGAGTCAGAGCATTCATATGAAATTCAAATCGCGTCAAGTTTAATATGATAATAGCAATGTGTTTTCATGATCAAAGTTGGCTTTTTTTGTTTGGCGATAACAGCAAAATCCTTCCGTTATAGGTTTAAATTGTTCCATTTTAAAATTTGAATGAAATTATCAACTATATTATTTCCAGACTAATGCAAAATCCATCAGTGTCTTGTCGATTTACACTTTTCGGTTTACCCAAATCTGGATAGAGCTGTAAAAATTTATTTTCCCTCTTTAATATCATCAGGATGTTCTTTTTCAGCCTTGCGTCTTTGTTCTGCGTTTATAAATGCACAAGTCAGCCAATATCATAAAAGGTACACAAGAATTCCTTCAAATAGATCAATCAATAAACAAAATGGGTATATACTTGCTTGGAAAGAAAATCCTACCCTGAAGAAAAAAAATAACTCCACTTGACTTGATTAATATTATTTTATTCGGATTGAGTTATCACTAGGGAAGATACTCCTTCATCGTCAGAATCAACTTATGCTACACATCCATCCAGGCTTTACTTTTGAATCAGTCTTCTAAAACTTATCTGTTGTTTCTATACTGATTTACTTACATGAATCTCACAAAATTATACCCTGACTAATGAACAAATCATCTGAGAAACACTTTTATTATTTATAGTATTTATAGATGATAATAAAAAAATATAAAATAAAAATAAAAATAAAAATAAGTGGAATGATGATAGATCATTTCAATCACAATGAATGGTTTACTCTAATTATGATAGTATTTGTTCACCAAATAGCACTTCCTTATAATAATAAAAAGACCAATGTGAAATTCCAATAATCAGATGAATAAAATTTATTCATAAGTCTAAATTCATTTGATTAGAATTATAAATGTGATAATTTATAACATAATAAAAATAATATTAATGTTGAAATTGATATTTAATTTTAAAATTAACAATTAAATAATTGATTATAATTACCATTATTATTATTATTCAAATTCATTTGATTAAATCTATAAATATGATAATAAAACTAATATTATTAATATTGATATTGATATTGATGTCAATTGTGACTTTTGAATCAATAATCAAACAATTACCATTATTAATATTATCTAAATCAATCTGTTTAGAATTACCCTTATTAATACTAATAATTGTAACTATATTGGAATTTACAGGTTGGGGAAGATTCAATCAATAAACAAAATGGGTATATACTTGCTTGGAAAGAAAATCCTACCCTGAAGAAAAAAAATAACTCCACTTGACTTGATTAATATTATTTTATTCGGATTGAGTTATCACTAGGGAAGATACTCCTTCATCGTCAGAATCAACTTATGCTACACATCCATCCAGGCTTTACTTTTGAATCAGTCTTCTAAAACTTATCTGTTGTTTCTATACTGATTTACTTACATGAATCTCACAAAATTATACCCTGACTAATGAACAAATCATCTGAGAAACACTTTTATTATTTATAGTATTTATAGATGATAATAAAAAAATATAAAATAAAAATAAAAATAAAAATAAGTGGAATGATGATAGATCATTTCAATCACAATGAATGGTTTACTCTAATTATGATAGTATTTGTTCACCAAATAGCACTTCCTTATAATAATAAAAAGACCAATGTGAAATTCCAATAATCAGATGAATAAAATTTATTCATAAGTCTAAATTCATTTGATTAGAATTATAAATGTGATAATTTATAACATAATAAAAATAATATTAATGTTGAAATTGATATTTAATTTTAAAATTAACAATTAAATAATTGATTATAATTACCATTATTATTATTATTCAAATTCATTTGATTAAATCTATAAATATGATAATAAAACTAATATTATTAATATTGATATTGATATTGATGTCAATTGTGACTTTTGAATCAATAATCAAACAATTACCATTATTAATATTATCTAAATCAATCTGTTTAGAATTACCCTTATTAATACTAATAATTGTAACTATATTGGAATTTACAGGTTGGGGAAGATTTGGAAAATTCAATAATCTACTTGTATAAACAGCATTTGGATGAACAATTGCTGTAATTGTTGAAGGATTAAAGGGGTTTTATTAAATATTTTCTGATTCCTTTTAATTCATCAAGCTGTTTTTCAGAATAATTAGACCTATTTGATTGATATGGATATGAATCAACTTGCATCTTTCCAAAGAGTAATAATTTCTAAAATTTCATTTGCCATTGGTCTTTTTCAGCATCTGTGCATCTGTGTGCTAATTTAATATAACATTCTGGAGTATTATCTGAAAAAAATAGGCCTTAAGCCACCACAGATCTTGAAAGCAAGATCTAGATCATATGGTTGATCTTTGAATGGTTGTTGACATGTTGATGTTTTTAACATTAAAATCCCAAAGCTATAGATGTCAGATTTTTGTGTGTAAGGTTTCTTATTTAAAACCTCTGGTGCAACATATGGCAATACTCCAAATATATCATCTTTCACTTGATGGTTCTTGATCAGCTGGACCTGATAACCCTAAATCTGCAATCATTGCTTGGGATAAATGTTGAAAATATAAAATATTACCACAGTGAAGATCATGGTGCATAAGTCTTTTAAATATTATAAAGCATTTTAATTCTCTTGTCCCATTTTCTATGCTTTAATTTTATATAATTTTTCAAACCTCCACTGTCTGTATATTCATTATTGAAACATATTCTTTTGTATCTGGATCTTGTGAAATACCATAAATATTAACAATTTTCTTATACCATGGTCCTATAAATTTAATGTGATTTTGAAGCTTTATGAAATTAATAAAAATTTAATATGTTATTTAAAAATCAATAATTGTCAATTAATTATATCAAATTTTTTATGAGAGTTTTTAAATTTTTTTAATGCTACATAACTACCTTCGCAATAATATCTTATTTAATTAGATGATGTTTTAATAAAGGTTTACTTTGTGTTTTAAAAGTTATTTTTAAACTATAATTCCTACTGTCTGGTATTGTAAAGAAACAAAAAAGTAAAGTTATTTGATTAGATGATGTTTTAATAAAGTTTATTTTGTGTTGTAAAAGTTAATTTATAATATAATACTTACAATCTGGTCATTATAAAGTGATAAAAAATAAAATTATTTAACTAGATGATGTTTTAATAAAGTTTTACTTTGTGTTGTAAAAGTTAATTTTATAATATGATAATACTTTCACTAAGAAAAAAAAAATTTTTTATGTTTTAAAAATTAATCATAACAATAATACTTACTCCTGGTTATTACATATTATAATGAATAAAATTATTTAGTTAATTTATAACGTAGAATTTAGCTAAATATTATTATAAAGTAAAATATTAATTTAAGATGCAAATTCTATTTTATTATATTTTTTAATTTTTAAAATAGTTATAAGAAAATACCCTCATTAATTTTTTTTTATATGAAAATAAATACCAGGCAACTCTTTTTACTCCTATTATATAAAAAAGGATATATAGAAAGTCAGCGCAGTACTGAAGCTAGGGATGGGCGGTTTCACTAACAAACAGTTTTGAACTAACGGTTGAAAATAATACTTTAAAAATCTGGCTGACATTGCTATTATGTATAGTATCCGAATATGCATAATTTCCATAATAATTATTTTACAATAACTAATGTAATTAAATATAAAGAAATATGTTTAAATTACTATAATAAGATCTAATCAAAAATGTCTGATGCAATGAGAGGGTAATAATAATGATAACAACAACAAGCAATAAACATATTAATTAATATGTGCCAATTGATATTATTTTTCTTGTTTATTTAATTGGAAAAGTAAAGGAGTCTTTACAAACATATAAAATAAATTTTGTAAAATTCCTTTATTAATATTAAAAATCTCAAAGAAAAATTTCAGAGAGTGATGAACCAACATTATTTCTCACTCTTTTTTTTGGTTCATTATTATTTATTGTTAAATTTCTCTAGTAAAAAAATACATCATGCATACATCTTTAATAATTTAATAGCTACAAGTCTAGATGCCAAGATTCATTATTAAATAATATCCTAAATTTGCTAAAAATTTTAAATAAGGTCCAGCACAGAGAATAATTTCATGGTAAATATTAGGAAGAATCCCAAATATAATGAAGGATATTTGTATTGGCATTTGCACATATCCTAGTGAAATAATAATTAAAAAAGCACCAATAATGAAGAAAATAATACCAAAATAAATAGGCATCAAAAGAAAATAAAGAGAGAGGCCAATGCCAAATGAAAACAAACCAATTAAAATATATGATATAACATATACTATTGCTCCTATAAAACATACACCAAGTAAACAAAATTTAAGAAAAATTGTCTTTAACTCCACAAAAAAAAGGTTTAGAAATTCATTGAATTCCAAATACATTTGAGATTTCCCCAACATTCGAGCTTTCTGATACAAAAACCTGAGTGATGCTGCAAAGGATAAACAAATAGTAATCAATACAATTATATTATCATATTGAGGATATAGGATCACACCTTGAACAGTTGATGGAATAATTAATAGTATTGGTTTTAGAAATTCATCATAATTACTGATCAAAATCATAATTATTTTAAAAATTTCAATATTAAAAGAATTGTAATCTTTTGAATTATTATACAAGCGAACTGCATTTAAAAAATTTATAAAAGCTGTAGAAATTATCATGTCCTTTTTAAATTCAATCTTGGTTGGTTTATAACTCAAAAATTCTGAATCATAATATATTATTATTACTGGAAAACCCCAAAAAATCATAGTTGTTAATCCTTGTAGAATTGCCTTTGTTGTTAAATCACATCCAATGATCATTCCAAGTGTACTGAGAATTATACTTAAAAAATTTAATATAATTATAAAATCAGACTCAGCAGCTTTTCTCTTTTTATATAAAGACTCTAAATGACTGAAAATGAAAAAATCCAATACTAATAAGGACACATCAATAAGATATAAAATATGATATGATTCATCAATATTAGTGGCAGAAAATGAATCAACATTTTCGTTGAATAAAGGTGGTGAAAGAGATGAATGGGAAATTAGAGTGTGAGAAGAGGAAGTAGGGGATGAAGAGAAAATAGTGGATGAAATTAGGGTATGAGAAGAGGAAATAGTGGAAGGAGAGAGTGGAGGTGGTGGAGCTCTAACAATAGGAATCAAAAATAAACATAATAAAAGAGTGATTAATGTAAGTTTTTTAGAAAAGAATGTCAGTTTTTTAACATTAAAATATTCCATTTTGGAAAATAAATGGAGAAAAAAATAACAATAATTTCATAATACTTTGGAAAGAAAATTTTAAATTAATTCTTTACTAAAAAAGAAATATTGTTTGTAATTACAATATTCGCAGGAACCAATCAGGTTATGGACAAAAATCAAATTCAATCAAAAACTGATAACATTGTAACATTTAACAAACTGAAATAGTGCTTCCAGTAATAAATGACATCAATTTTATTTACTCTTCTAATGACACTTTAAAGGTTGAGTTTAACACTAAGCATCATGAGCACTATGTATGGAGATTTCATGCATTTTCTGGTAATCGTGATTTGAATTTTTTTGAGTATGGAATATGTACTGGAAAATCCTCATCCTAAAAAATGCGTTTTATTTTATTTAATAATAATAGAATTACTCTTAGATACAATCAACTCAGTTTTTTTATTGGGATAGCCTAAAGGATAAAAACCCTACGCAGTGATTAATTCAATTATTTCTATAACAAATTTAAATTTTCAGCATAAATTTAAAGTTTTCCAATAGCTGTTGATAACCATCCTAACTCGAAATATTATCAAGTCCACTATTATTAAGTCAAAAATGACGAAAGCAGAAAAACCTTGGCTTAAGCCAAAGTCCTTGACTAAAATCAAAATTCATAACTTAAGAAAAAACTTTGGTGAAATTAAAAATGATTAATTTATTTAAAATTTTCAATTAGGCAATGATGATACAAAAAAATAGAAAAATACGTATCAACAAAGTTATTAATTAATAAAAGATATTAAAAGAATATCAAATCCCACATCTATCAAAAATTTGATTGCGCTCAATATATAATTAAAAACTCCAATCTCCTATTTGAACTAGTTTAGAAATTCCTAAACCAATTTGTGGTCATATGACATGTTGTTTGTACTGTAGAATTATTTTCAAGTTATTTCTAAAGTGATCGAATCATTTAAATTCCTTTATTTAAATTTAATCTGAGAATTAAAGGTCTGTTATATTTTAGAATGTTAGAATATTTATTTCTCCGTTGTTTGAGATATTTTTCGTGAGTCAACAACTATTTTATTGATGATAGAATAACAATATTGATCAGTTTTTCCGATTTTATTTTCGTGATATGTAAAAATTACTATTTTACAGTAACGTGTTTTCTGAATGACTTATTTAATAAATTTTTATTCGAATGTTATGTGGTATAAAACATATTCAAACAGGTCCTGCCTTTATACATATCTAAAGATTTTCCCGACGAGACTTGCATATAATTTCAAAGATCGAGAATCACTGATTTTTTGAATTTCATGGTTGATTCATTAAAATTTATCTATATATATAGTAATAATACTAGTATGTGAGATCTGTTACTGATAGGTAGGGACCTAGAATCTTGACGCTGTTCCTAAATTGACATCAAAAATAAGTTTAATCATTTTGCTTCGCAGATACACATACCTCGTATTTATGCGTAAAAACAAAAGAAGCAATGATACATGACATTGGATTAAAATACTCTATATCCTGTGTGATGTGATTTGGTTAGCATATCATAGAACGTCAATCATCCACTTTGGACAATTGCGATCGCAAAATTGTCATGTATAAAAGTTGATTACTACATACTAATTCTTGTGTTATTATTTGAGGGAGCAAATTTCCAAGTCTCTGTTTCATCTGAACTGGACACATCTAAAATGGTATCAGATTCACTCTGAAGTAGTGTTTGTAATCATTCGGAATTGTTCGGACATTATCCGAATATCATTCATGTGACTGATATTTGAATATCATGAATATTATTATGGTTGGCTCGGTCTAAAGACCTCCTATTGCTGCGCCACGAGCTCAAATTTCAAAAATTGCGATTTCATGATTCGTTCAAAAATGCAATAAAAACTTTTCAAAAAGGCTTCACGTGATTTTGGTTAAAAAATTTATTTTCCTTCCTGCCAAATTTAGACATGATTGTCGAGTATTAGTCTAAATTTAATAATGATGAACTAAAACTAGTCTAAATTTAGCAATGATCCTAGCGCTCAAATTCTTCATGAGCATAATAAAGTACATGTTTTAAAAAAGAATAGAACTCTACACTCACCTACCATAAATATCCGACCACCTGACGATCATTTTAATAATTGGGGAACTTTTACCTCACGCAGTTCAAAATTTTATTAATCAAACCGGGACTGGTGCATTAAGTAAACATATTTTTAAAGTCAATTTGAATATAAACTTTAAAGTTTCGTCGAGTTTGCATTATTAATGAATTTAGGATGAAAATTTTAAATTAGGCAAAAAATTTCGTGATTTTTGTGAAAACTTTGAGCTTAGTAAAAAGGTTCAAAACTCTGTTGAATTATGGATTATGTCATTAAGTAAGTCCACTTAAAATATTGTGAATTATATATGGTTAAAATTTGAGAAAATTTGATCAAGTATAGTCAACAAAACGTAAAGCCTTAAAATTTGCATTTTGTCAACTTTATTAAGTGCTTTATATGATAAAATTACAGGGTGGTCGGATACTTTTTTAAACCCTTTTCACAAACTAATTTATGCTGACATCGTATTGTAAATATATGTAATCTGTTACATTAAGCACGTTTTATTAAGGTAATAATATACATTACAACAAAAAAATTTGACCTTTTATTACATGTAAATATTCAATCGGAAATTTGCTTTTTTGGATGATTTGCTAAATATTTCCATTAATACCATACTGAACTATTCTAAATTTTCTTAATGTGGAGTTTTGATATCAAATATGAGTTTACTTAGTATAGCAGTAAAGGTTTTATTTAAGAAAACACATTTTATTTAGTAAGTACTTTTTTCATTTGACATTACACAGCGCAAGTGGTCGGATATTTATGGTAGGTGAGTGTACAACAAATAATTTTTTTGATAAAATCTCTTTATTACATTAAAATTAAAGACCTATTCCATCAACTAATAGAGCTA